GGAAGGTGTGAGATGGGGATTGGTGTATGAGTGGGAGGGCCTGTGTTGCGGTGGGGGTCTGAGATGTATCGCTCGAGGGGGGCGATGTCATTGGGGTGTGGGAAGTAGAGTGGGGGGTTGGAGGGGGATAACGAGGGAGGGGCAGGTCTCCACTGGTTACAGTTGGGTTGGAATGGTTAAGCAGCAGAGCCGCTTGGAGCAGCCTCCGGCATGTCAGTATCTTTACCTGACAGCTTGTTATCGGTGATGTGGCTGCTGTAGCTGTCACCGTTGGAAGAAGCGGGCCTTGTAGAGTGGGGACACTCCGTAATCGACTTGAGGCGGCTTGTCCGACTGGGTTGGGCGGGGGGCCCGGAGGCTCCTTCACCGCTCCCGACCGTCTCGGTGTTTCGGCTGCCTTGGATCTTCACGGCGAAGACGGCTGACGTGGGGCGCGTGAGGGTGGACGACAACTCCTCCCAGTGTGGGGCGATGGCTGGGGTTGACGCCCCACCTCGAAGCTGTGCGCAAATCTGCACTGACGAAATCGCGCGGCACGCTTCCGTAGGGAGGGCGGGAAGCGACTTGGGGCAAGACACACAGGCCAGATCGTGATGCTGGTGTCGGTCCAGCGGGCCTGATTCGGTCGCTAGTGCAGATGAGCACAGCTGTGTGTTAGCTAGTTTCGCCCTTTCGGACTTTCTTTTCTTTCTTTTCATTTTTTTGTTGTTGTTGCTTTTTTTTTCCCTTTTTTTCTTTTCGAAATCCGTACATATATAGGGTCATGTAGACAGGAATCAGGACATGTCCGGATCATCTGGACATTACCGGAAATGTGGGCAACAGGATCAAGCCTGGAAATCCGGCGTGCGGTTTCTGCGGATGTGTCCGGATGACTTGTCTGCCGATGTCATGGTTTTGAGCTTTTGTTCCATTTGTCAGCGTAAGACCGCATGTGAGGTCTGTTCATAATTTCTGATTTTGAACCATCTTTTCAACTTGTCGAACGTGAAATTGCTTGCGACACCATGCGAGGGGACTGAGATCTCTGGTTTGATGAGCAGGCACGGAGAGGCATCAAGGGCTCTGGCCAGGTAGAGACAAAAACCCAACACTCAACACAAGCCATGGCTCTTCCCACGACCCATCTGTCCCACACGTTGCATTCCTCCTCCCTCCTACTACTCCCTTTGTCCTGTCTTCACCCGAATAGAACGCCTGGCCGCGATAGCTGGATTTGGGACGAATGTCAGTCTAGATACAGCGATAATGACTGGGCATTCTATTCGGGTGACGTCGGTAGCTATTGCACTTTCACCAGGCCATGGCAGCATCAGCATCTGACTGGATAAGTGACTCCTCGTCATGCTCCCTTGCTGCCACAGTTGCAGACTATAGTACCCCTCTATGGGCCTCTAGCATTTCAGTCATCCAGCATCTGACACTTGAATCGCTCCTTTTTCTTTTTAAAATCGTTTTGGGTAAGTGTCTAGCTTTATTAAATCCATCTGATTCGATCATGATCCAAACACGTCATCTGTTTATTGACAGTTACATGTGTGTACCATTCAGCCACATGCACTAGCCCCTGGGTACTGATCATAATTATTGCTATATTATTTATCGAGTTGCGCCTGGCCAGCCAAGCTGGGCAGGGAGGGGGTCACCACACAAAACCAGGCAGGTAAAAAAAGAGGAAAGGACCCCCCACCCCAAAAAAAATGACTTCAGCGCTTGGCCTGAGCAGTCAGAATCTGGCATAACCTTCGCTGATGCATGCTCGTAGGCAAGGTGAGCAATGCAAAAGAGCAAAAGGACCAGCGAGGTGATGATAAGGACTCAGACATACACAATGAGATCAATGACAGACGTGATGACATCAGAGAGACAATGTGTATCCATACAATCATAAAATGATACAATATAGCACAGCGGAAGACTCAAACATACGACCTGACTCATTGGACAGACCCGACTCATACCATACTCATCACACATGTGAGAGGGTAGGGAGGCCGCAGAAGGAAAGGCACATTGGAGGCCACAGATGATGGGAGAGAAAGGAGCAAGACAGAGAGGGAGTCGAGGGAGTAGACCAGAGTCGAATACTCTGCTGTCAAAAAATAGTCTCCCTGTCAAGTGTCCAACCAATGTCTGCCGCAAGAGTGTCGAATCAGATCCTGGGCCCCATAGCCCGTAATAGCTCTGCCTGTAACCTTTCTCTCTCTCTGAAGAAGAAGAAGAAGAAGAGGAAGAAAAAGAAGAACAGCGACTGTGGAGGTTGGAGTCAGGAAGAAGGAGAAAAAGAAGAAGAGGTCTCCTCTGTTTCTCCCTCACCTGCTGCTGCTGAAGTCCTGCCGACACTGACTGGCGGAATGGCGCTCTCTGATGCAGGTCGCTGAAGTACAGTCCAAGCTACGGCACCCAGGTAGGTCGTCCTCCAACCAGCGGCTATGGCTCCCCAGCCTCCGCTCTCCCACTACGTCCTACTCCTCTACCTCTACCTCTAGTGCAGCACTCCAGAGTCGCATGCTGCTCCAACAGCGCGATGCTCACAATGTTGCCCAACTGAAATCTGTCGAACTGGACTGCCCTCTGGGCAGCCCATGGTCTGCATCCAGGAGCGTCAGATCTAAGATCCGATTGAAGGCCCAAATCCCTCCTCCTGGTGGTATCCTGCAGCTAATGCAGGCCCTACCTATTAGGGGAAAGTCTGAGGTGACACACCTGGAACCAACAAAACTGGGCCAGACAGCAAGACTCAGCAAATAAAGAAATAAATAAATGCTGATTCGTTGCTGAATCAAAAGACGACAGCAAGACTCAGAAAAAAGATAAATAAGGGAATAAATAAGTGCCGAATCGAAAAAAGACAGCAAGACTCAGCAAAAAGATAAGTAAGGGAATAAATAAATGCTGAATCAAAAAAAAAACCTGCATGGGGCAGAAAACCGTGCCTGGCCTGGAAATGGCCGTGGGCCTCCAGGTTGCACAGCCAAAAAATGGTGTGCGGCCTGGGGGCCCCTAACAACCGTCCGGCCCTAAGAAAAAGGGCCTGTGTACAGGCCTCAGCATGCCACAGTCGCCCAGGGGGGGTTGGGGGGTATAAACAGTGACTAGAGGGGTTTAAAAGGTTACATCTGACCTCATATTTGCTCATTTTATTTTTATCTTGAAATTAATAAGCAATTTCGAGGGAACCCTCAGCCAAGAGTAATTTGTAATTGTGTATAGCAATTTTACAGTTTTTTTCCCGGATTTTTTCTAGGCTACCAGAATGGCCCAGGATAACCTGCCTTGCTGGGCCAGAAAAAAAGTAATTTTTATTTTTATTTGAAATTTGGTAAAGAATTTCGATGTGAACCTGAGGCAAAAGTTGTTCAGTTTCTCTGCATAACATTGTTGTTTTTTGAACTTTTTTCATGGCTGTGCCGGCAACCGGCCGGTTGGACCCCCGGTGGTCCAACCGGAATTCCGGTTGGGTCCAAAAGTGGGTCAAAAAAAAAAAAAATCTTTTTTTTGAAAACATGGTTGAGTCTTTTTTCAGTTTTTTTTTTTTTTTTTTTTTTTTGCTGGGACCTTTTTTGGTCCTTGCATGGCCGGGCCACCCAGGCAAACAAGGTGACCCGCGCCGCCCGGTAGGTCGCGTATGATTTTTTGATTTTTTTCGATATTCTTCTAATATTATGCATTGGGACTCCGCAGGACCCTTCCCGCTGCCTGGGCGACCTGGGGACCAGCATAGGTGTTCTTTCTATCATTAGCAATTTATTACTGTGTATATCGTCATAGAGAACTGTCCCGTGAACCATAGGCAGAGAGGGAGAAGAGGGCAACAAATGAGTAGCTGTGACAGACTGTTTATATTATATTCATGGTCCCTACTAAACCCTGACATTATTGTCTTTACCTGATTGTGAATTTTGTCAAAACCAGTAAATGTTGTGAACACACATACAACGGTACCCTTGCACACCCTCAACTACTATCTTCTCCCCTCGCACGACATTTTTGTGAACATGAAAACTCAGCCAAAACGTTCGATCTATGTGGGCCTTTAATCCTATAACATCACCCGTCAACATCCCACGTTTTCTGAATAAGCGGCAAGAAAGCACAGTTATGCCAAGTGAAGGGGGGCAGGAGGCACGTGGTTCCAAAATTATAAAAAAAAAAATTAATAAGGAGTACAATGTTCAACAGTTGGTCAACACAGTTTCAACATATTTCCAACAGATGGGCCAGCAATTGAACACAGTATATCTCGTTTACGACATCTGTTATCTATGTTGGTTTCCTTCACTTTTGGTGGGACACATGACACTCCCACCGACAAACAGTTTATTAACACAGTTTGAACAGTATTGTCATTGGTGCTTGTGGATTACTAGTGCTATGAATGTGCCTTGGGGCCTCGCTCCACCTCTCACCAAACGGAATTTGTGGTGGTGGCCGCCCAGCACGGTGAAGTCTCACCAAACTCGCACACTAACCGTGTGCCGTGCTCGTTCGGTTGGTTGGGACGGTGTACCAGGCAGCTGCAGACTCACCCCGTCAGGTGAGCCCCGGGAAGGAGACACCACAACTCCGTTAATGCAGGCAGGGAAAATGGTGGCCGTGGTGAACACTCAACGTGGCCCACTCACCACAACGAAAACTACAGGCGTGACCTGAATAGAACGCCCGGTCATTATAGCTGTATCCGGACTCCAAATTGCACCAAATATGGCTATAATGACCGGCCGTTCTAGTGGGGTGAAGACGGTAGCCGTCCGACAGGATGACCATGGTGAGGTGGTGGAGCGACAGCCCGCTCAGCAAATGTCGTGTTTAGTGAGTGGTGCAATCCGGCCCTTCCTCCAGCCACAATGTCGGCAAAAGTAGCAAAACAAAATCCCTTCGACTGGTCCTGTTTTTTTTCCACTCCTTTCCCCCCCCCCGTTTTACCCATAACCCCATCGATTCCACAGGACCTCCCTTACTTTTTTACGTTCAGAAGTTTCTCTGTCCTGTTTGCGCACCTTCACATGACTGTTGTGCCTTAGGTGTATCTCAGATGAGATCAGCTCTAGGCTTGCCCATGCCGCAGTCTCTGCCAAACCAAAGTGTAGGGCAGCACCCACAGACACCTCAACTCTCCCTGGTACCTGTCCAGCAGAAGGTCACAAAAACTATGAAAATGTTATGGGAAAAAAAGAAAAGAATAGAAAAGAAACCCACACATTCAGCTGAATGGTACACATGCACAAAGAAAAGAAAAGGCAAAAAGACAGAAAAAAATAAAATGGTATCCACATCAGCAAGGAATGGCCAATCCATCGGAAAAAAAAAAAGAAAAACAAGAAGGAATGGCCAATGATGCCGCCAATCCACCCATCTATGCACATCACAATTGAACATACCGCATTCTTAGGCCTGGCGGCAACAGGGCAAAAGAGGCAAAAAAAAGGGTTGTGCTGGCAGTTCGGCAAAGCTGGGCGCGCAGTTCCTTTGCACCTCAGCAAAAAGTGGCTCAGAGGTAGTGGTGGGAGAAAAAAAAGGGAGGGGCGGAAAAGGCCAGTTAATTGTGTGGCACTGCATTCATACGATGACATTATCTAGAGTTGAACTTGGTCCTACTGAGTTCAGATGCACTCATGGTAGCTGTGCTGGTAATGTATTGTATGTATGTGTGAGCATCACAGCATATATTGCCACATAACTATGTACTAAAGAATATCAAAATTTTGTTTTTCCATATAGGGGTGTTGTAGTTGGCAGAAAACAGGAGGTGTTGATATCTGCTAGGACCTTTCTAGTTACTCATGATTTATATGACAGATAGCATGTGACCGGAGAGGAAAGGATGCAGCAGAGAGGCAAATGGTGACCACATTTTTCACCTTAGCAAAATTTTATTTCTCCATATGGGGTTTTGTACTTTAGACAAAATAGGAGGTGTTGTTATCTGCTAGGACCTTTCTCGTTACTCATGATTTATATGACAGGTTGTACCATGTGACCTGAGAGGAAAGGATGAAGCAGGGCAAGCTGACAGTCAATCCTCCGCGATGTTGGAGCAATCAATGCTGGTCAGGGGTCCTTCGGCCAGACGGAAGGAAGCGTGAGTGAGTATTTTTCATGGCTACGCCGGACGCGGACCCGGACATTTCCGGACATGGAACCGGACCCGTGTCCGGTAGTTTCCGGACGTCCGGAATTCCGGACATTTCCGGACCTCCGGACATGGGGCGATCCGGACGGTCCGGATGTCTGGACAGGTCCGGAAATGTCCGGACCATTAAAAAAAATAAAAATAAAAAAATCTGAAAAAAAAGTATGCTATGCAGAATAACAATGCAAACCACTTTTGCCTCAGAGTCATGTCAGAATTCCTAACCAAACTTGAGTTACAAGTCAAAAACTATAAAAAAGCTTAAAAAAAGACTTTGAAAACTAATAAAAGGTAATGAATTATTAATAGTTAAAAAATTGGGGTTGTCTAATAAATTATTATAGAGAGAGAGCATGTCCGGGCCCCCAAAAAAAGCATAAACGGGCCTGAAAAAAACCCAAAACAATTTTGGGTGCTTGGCTCCTCATTTGGGAAGGGTCCTGGACCGTTTTTTTTTTTTTTTTTTTTCCCGACTTTTGGCAGATCCGGACCTTCCAGACCGGACGTCTGGAGTCCGGACTGAATCCGGACCGTCTGGACGGCGGTCCGGATGTCCGGATCGTAGCCATGGTATTTTTTATGTATCTTTTATTATGACTTGCCGGTGGAATAGGAACCGGACTGATGCTCCCCAGAATGGATATGGAGCCAGGACCAAAAGGACCTGTTTACCAAAAGGACGTACAAGGCTCGCCACGTTGATGAAGTTGAGCGTGTGTGACACGCAACCTCACGCCCCCTTGCGGCTTCCCGTATGGGGTCGCCGATCAGAGTTCTTGGAGGGGCGTGGCCGAGGATTTTTGGGCGTAGGTGTTGAGTCTCCCGGACGGAACGGGAGACTCTCGTTTCATGCCAGAGGTTACCCCGGAGTCGAACCGTCGTCGCGAAATCCCGTGGGGGTAGGATCGCTCCGAAACAACAAAATCAGAAGGGTTTCCGCGAAAACAAACTGCCGTCGTGCATCAGGACGGGAAAAGGCGTCAAGGGGAGAGGGCCATGGCGGCGGAAGACAAAACTTCGGCCGTCAGGGGTCTTGGGGGATAGGTGGTGGGTTCGAAGCCTTCAGGCCTCGTCCTCGGCCTCATGAAGTGACCGAACCATCGGGTCTTTTGCTGTAGAGAGGGTTGGTTCGAGGCCTTCAAGCCTCAGCGTCGGACTCACAAAGTCCACGCGGAAGGTTCCGGGAGGGTAAAGTGGCGGGAGGACTCGACGGCATCCGAATTCGAAATTGCGCGGGCAGCGCCCCTGCACTACAGGAAAGCTCGGGGAAACGTGTCGCTCCCTCGTAACCCAGGACCAGTGGTCGCCAAGAACACGAGTCCCCCTGGCAACACCAGCGACAATCAAACTGCGGCCGCCACGCGGCGTGAGCGGCCGACCAGGGCAACACGGTCAAACCCGTATAAGGCAATATTAGAGTCGGGGAATCAAAACGCTCAATCAAGACAAACCCGTTCCCCCTTATATCACAAGCCCGAGGCGGGTCTCGCCAGCACACTTGCTCCGTTCGCCTCAGCGCGTGCCGTACGTCCGCATCGCAGTAGACACTGTCGTCATTTGTGATGGGGAAGGTCGGTAGCGGGATGAGACGATCGGAGGTAGGCGATGAACACAGGCAACACGGGCAAGATCCCTCGCTCCCGGTCATCCGAACCAACATCGACTCCATACAACACTCGATGCAACCTTTCCTCTCAGGGTTAGTGCGTCGAAGGAGGATGGCGAAATCGAAGCTCTCTTCCTCTTGCGGGGCCGTCGACCGC